GGTCCCCTCTGATCAGGAGGTTTTGAGGAGCGTGGAACCATCTCTTAATTGCTGGTGTTCCCAGGTCCACTCTGACCCGGGGTTGTAGCACCTGTTAGGGTCCCAGCTATGGGCAAATAGTTAACACCCAAACTTGTGTAAAAATAGGTTTTAATACCAGAAATATTTTGTAATAAAAAATTTTATTACCAACAATAATTTTTGAAGGAAAAATTATTATCAGCAATACTTTAAAATTAAAAAAAAAACCTGCAATACAAACAGTTATACATTCTTTGAAAAAAATATGACCAACTATAGATTTCTTCAAAGAAAAATATTTCCAGAAATAGATTTTTGAAGAAAAACATTACCAGCAATAAAAATTTTGTTGGTATTAAATAATCCATTGAGGTTGATATGCCGTAAAACAAAAACCAAAAAACCCTTATAATAACGTAAACGCTTAGATAATAAAAAATTGTTTATCAAGTTTGGGGCTTTTTTTCATCGGGGTATGCACTTTTTTAGTGAAGTTTTTCCAGCATTTCTCTGGAAAAATAGAAAGTGAATATACAGTTGAAAAGTTGCTTTATCTGGCTAGAAACTTTTTTGGACATGATGATTTCTTTTGACGATGGAAAAATTGAAAATCAAAAATAAACCGAAGAAAAAAAGCTGCCATAAATGAATGTTTTTTTTTCTTTTTTCTTGATTAAATTTTAAATTTTTAAAAAAAAAAAAAAAAATACAGTTTAGACATGATGATTTCTTATTGACGATGGAGGATTTCTCAATTGAAAATCAATCCAAGACAAACCGAAAGAAAAAACTTTTGTATACTTTTAATAAAATAAAAAAATATCTTTTGTTATTTAGTTTTTTTTTTTCATTGATTAAATTGACGAAATTTGCATTAAAAAAAAAAAAAACAAACCGTTTAAAAACAAAATGAAAATGTCCCATTGAAGTTCTTTTTTTCTTGTTTCATTTTGCATTAAAAAAAAAAAAAAATACAGTTTAGTAACAAACAAAATGACCCATTGAAATTGTTTAGGTTTATTTAGCATATTTTAATGTTCCAAATAAGAATTAATTCTTATTTTCATTATTTTTAATAAAACCTTTATTTTGTTTGCTGTATGTGTTTGGGTTTGAAGAGAAAAAATTCACACCGGTTGGGAAGAGTTTCGTTTTTACGTTTTAATTGTTTTGAAATATTAAATAAACATTTAAAAATACTTAAAATAAAAGTAAAACATTTTCAGGTGTGAAAAATTCAAAAAGTTAAAATTTAAATAAAGTAATTATTATTTTCTATGTAATTAAACTTGGATTATAAAATTAAATAAATTCTAAAATTAAACTAGGATTATAACTTTAAAAATAGAGTAAAAAAATTGGATATGAAATCCTTTCTGTTTTCCTCTCTCTTTTTCTGTCTATTCTCTCTCATTCCCCCCTGTGTCTATGTCTCCCTTCTCAATCCATTTGATCTTTTTCTATCCATTGTCTATCAGTGTCTATCTTTCTCTCTTTCCCTCTGTCCATTCCCCTTTATCCGCTTGTCCATTTTCTTTCTTTCTTTCGAATTTTCTCTCTTCCTAATTTATATTATATTTCTTTCTCCCTCTTCCTGAAAGACTTTTTTCTTTCTCTCTATTAGTTTTGTCTCTCCCTCTTTTTAAATTTCTTTTCTCCTCTCTATCAATCCACACACTCTCTCACTTCTCTCTCTCTCTCACTTCTCTCTCTCTCTCTCTCTCTCTCTCTCTCTTCCGTGTCTCTTTCAACACAAAATAATAAATAGATTTATACAGGGATTAATTTTCCAAACTAAAAGTCATTTTTTGCTCTTAACGTCTTGTTTTCTTGAATTTTTCCCCCACGAAATGTTCGAAAAATAACTTCGAAATCTTGGACGTCAGAATGGTTTCACAAGAGCAGAAATCGATTGTTTTTTTTTTTTTTTTTTTTTTTAAAATGGTCAACTTCGGAAAATCCGAATTCTGTAAATGATATCCAATGCCACTTTGTTGACAGAATCTGAAATTGGCTGTTTCGAAAGTGACCGTCACGAGGCGCGTAGAAAATCAAGTTTTTGTACACATTTTCTGTTTCTACTGCGCATTCATTTAAAAAAAAAAAAAAAAAAAAAAAAAAAGGTGTCGCTTGGCGGCTCGCATTTAGAAAATTGTTTTGTCAAGTTTTTTTCACGGTCTGTTGGAGAATAAAACCGGCTGAGATCAGTTTCCATTGGGAATTTGCATATTTCTCGTTTGCATTATGTAAAATCACTGAAAGGAATCAGATTTATCGCACCGACGCTATTTTTCGTGATTGCTCCAACTGAATACAAGGTTATATTTTTCATTCCTCTTTTAATTTTTTGTTTTTAATAAAATGAAAACTGATGTTATTTATTTTCTCCCAGTTTTTGCTTTTCTTCCTCGTTTCGGTTTTATTGTCGTCATCTTTTCGTCTGTTACTGAATTTCAAATCAGTTCCTTTTGTGAAGAGCATTTCAGTATTTTTTGGCCGTTGCAATATCGGACTTGTTAAATGGTAGACTTTAAAACTCTTTACATCGTAAGGGTTGTGCTTTGAGAAGCTTTTATTTCTGATCGATACATTTTGGTTCCAATTGAAACTATCCACTTTTTTTGTTTCGTTGTTTAATTTTTTTGAAAAGTTACTTTCAGTTTTAAAAGATGCAAGACGCTGAACATTTATACTTGACATGGAGGAGATATTTTTCTTCAGTTCACGACCATTTTTTAAAATCGTGTTCTTAACATGCCGAAATCGTTCATGCTGTGAGAAATTGTTTTTATGAGGAACTTTATTTTGACTCGCAATGTTACGATGGCTGTAATCAGGCATGATTGCATGTTTGTTGTAATGAGCCTTGTATTGTTTATCGTTGAAACCGGTCTTTAGCGTCTGATTAATTTGTCGTTCATTTGAAATATTATTGTGTTTCGCGGGTTGGTGTTGCGAAGTTTTGTTTGCCGTTGCATTATTTAATTTTAATTGTATTGAATTTAATTGAGGCTTGTTTTTTGAGGGTTGACTAACCCGGATCAATTTAAGTTGTTGTTTTGGGGGTGGTATACGTTGAGAATGATGACCATTTTGCATAGTGTTCTTAATGTTTTTAATTTTATGATACCAAAATCGTTCATGCTGTGAGAAATTGTTTTTATGAGGAACTTTATTTTGACTCGCAATGTTACGATGGCTGTAATCAGGCATGATTGCATGTTTGTTGTAATGAGCCTTGTATTGTTTATCATTGAAACCGGTCTTTAGCGTTTGATTAATTTGTCGTTCATTTGAAATATTATTGTGTTTCGTGGGTTGGTGTTGCGAAGTTTTGTTTGCCGTTGCATTATTTAATTGTATTGAATTTAATTGAGGTTTGTTTTTTGAGGTTTGACTAATCCGGATCAGTTTAAGTTGTTGTTTTGGGGGTAGTATACGTTGAGAATGATGACCGTTTTGCATAGTGTTCTTAATGTTTTTAATTTTATGATACCAAAATCGTTCATGCTGTGAGAAATTTTTTTGAGGAACTTTATTTTGACTCGGTTACGATGGCTGTAATCTGATTGCATTTTGTTGAATGAGCCTTGTATTGTTTATCATTGAAACCGGTCTTTAATTTGATTAATTTGTCGTTCATTTGAAATATTATTGTGTTCATGTTTGGTGTTGCGAAGTTTTGTTTGCCGTTGCATTATTTAATTGTTTGAATTTAATTGAGGTTTGTTTTTTGAACTAATCCGGTCTTTAGTTGTTGTTTTGGGGGTTTGAGAATGATGACCGTTTTGCATAGTTTCTTAATGTTTTTAATTTTATGATACCAAAATCGTTCATTGTGAAATTGTTTTTATTTATTTTGTCGCAATGTTACGATGGCTGTTCAGGTGATTGCATGTTTGTTTAATGAGCCTTGTATTGTTTATCATTGAAACCGGTCTTTAGCGTTTGATTAATTTGTCGTTCATTTGAATTTAATTTCGTGGGTTGGTGTTGCGAAGTTTTGTTTGCCGTTGCATTATTTAATTGTATTGAATTTAATTGAGGTTTGTTTTTTGAGGGTTGACTAACCCGGATCAATTTAAGTTGTTGTTTTGGGGGTGGTACACGTTGAGAATGATGACCATTTTTCATAGTGTTCTTAATGTTTTTATGATACCAAAATCGCTCATGCTGTGAGATATTGTCTTTATGAGGAACTTTATTTTGACTCGTTATGTTACGATGGCTGTAATCAGGCATGATTGCATGTTTGTTGTAATGATCCTTGTGTTGTTTACCGTTGAAACCGTTCTTTTGCGTTTGATTAATTTGTCGTTCATTTGAAATATTATTGTGTTTCGTGGGTTGGTGTTGCGAAGTTTTATTTGCCGTTGCATTATCTAATTGGGTTGAATTCAATTGAGGCTTGTTTTTTGAGGGTTGACTAACCCGGATCAGTTTATGATTACTCGAGTTTTGTTTAGGTGGTTGGTTTTGGTGATATTCCTTTTTTTTGTGCGAGGTTTTTGATTTCTGGACGTGCGAAACTTTATTTAGAGAGGTGTTTAAATCCCTTTGGTGTCGGTTCATTAAAGGAACAGGTATTTTTTTGTAGCCTTTCCCGTTGAAATTAATATTAGTCAAGAAACCGTAACTTATAAAGAGACTCAAGAGGCAAAAGGCGAACAGCACAACGTAATAAAACATTTTAATACTAGAAAGCATCATCTTGACTGTTTTTGTTTCAAACGACACCTCAATTGAGAAGGAGATAAAACAAACAGAATAAAGCACGAAATGGTTGTTATATTTGGTCAAGATTGACACAGACAGATCAATGTACAGATAACTGAATCGATAATAATGGCTGTTCGAATTTGTCCTTTTTTTCTTGCGGCGCACACGCGAGTGATATGCTCTTAAAAAGAAAATATTAATACGAAAGATGTATATTCTTTTACCACGTCCAGAACAAGTATTAAGAGTTTATGTTCTACTCAGGTAGTTGTTGAAATAGATAGATAGATAGATAGATAGATAGATAGATAGATAGATATGAACAGATCAGAGAGATAAATAAATATGAACAGATCAGATAGATAGATATGAACAGAGCAGATAGATCGATCTATAGATCGATCGATAGATAGATTGATAGATATGGACAGATCAGATAGATAGATAGATAGATAGATAAACAACGTACCTTAATGTGCGTGTATTCAAGTTGAGGTATAGTTAGCATGTGCATAAACACCTTGACACATTAGTTGTTCGTGAACAGTCTGTGATTCATTTTAGTGTAACTTTAACAAACTTGTTTAAATTGTTTACTATCCTTCGATCCAGGTGTTGTTTGTTTTTTCCTTAGCGACTTAGCTTTCCCTTTTATTTTTTTTTCTTATGCTGTTGTTAACCAGCAACGATTGTCAATATTCAAAATCAAAGACGCAAGTAGACAGCGAATAACTATTCCCATTTCCAAGTATCACACTACCAGGTAGGTTCGACCTGGTCCTACCTGGCAGGCAGTAACAGTGATATATATATAGTCACGGTAAATAGAGCAAGAAAAATTGGCCATTTGTTATCTCTGCATGAGTAATAAGACACTCATACACACACAAGCATTTTTTTTTATCTGTATCGTTAAAGCAGATTTCTCACCCACACCTTTTAAAAGACGGCGAGAAAGAAGTTTTTCTTAACAAACAAACAGAATGTATCTGGACGACCATAACCTTAAAATTTTATAAGTTTCATTTAAAAATAATGACAGCTTCTTTTTGCTCTCACTTCAAACATTTTAGACAATTCATTTTTTTTTTTGTTTCTTTGTTTTAAATCATTGGACTGATGGTCACTTGTTCAGAAGTTTTAATTTCTAATTGTTATTATTTTTTCCTTGTGAAAACTAAAGGCTCTTTTCAAAGTCTAATCTTTAGTATTAAGTTTTGTAGAGATTTTCTCCTGAAACTTAGGCTTAATTCTAATGTAACTATAACAAAATAGATAGATAATCTTTTTTAAAATTTGAATTATAAATGTTGTAAAAATAAAGGGTGAGGGAAAATATTTCAAATCAAGATAAGCAATTAGCAACTTACAAAGGACATGTTTTCTGCCTATTTTCGCCAATGCAGTAATGTTACTGCAACGATAGGTGTTCACTCTAAATTAAAAAAAAAAATGACTGCCAGTTTAGTACCGGGCACACCTGTCTACTAGGGTGACTTGCTGATCCCTATTACAGACGCCCGCTCAGACAAATTTGTGTTTGTTTAACACTCACACTCCACCTGTGGTTTATGCTACAATAATGCTGAAAGAGCTTAGTCCTAGATTATGAGAGAAAGATATTTAGAGAGAGGGGGAAAGAGATGCAGAGACAGACAGACAGAGGGAGAAAGAGAAATAAAAAGAGAGAGAGGAGAGAAGGAGAAAAATAGTTGATAGGAAGAGAGAGAAGGGAGAAAGAGAGAGAGAGAAAAGAGAAGGGAGAAACAGGTAGAAAAAGTAAGAGAAAGAGAGAGAGAGAAAGAAAGAAATGGAGAAAGAGAGAGAGAAAGAAAGAAATGGAGAAAGAGAGAGAGAAAGAAAGAAATGAAGAAAGAGAGAGAGAAAGAAAGAAATGGAGAAAGAGAAAAAAGAGACAGAGAGACAGAAAGAGAGAGTAGAGAGAGAAAGGGTGGAGAAAGAGAGAGGGATATAAAAAGAGAGAGGAAAGAAATAGAAAAAAAGAGAAAAAGAGAAAGTGGAGAAAGAGAGAAGGAGAGAAAGAGAGGGAGAGAAAGAGAGAGGGAGAGAAAGAGAGAAAGCATAATCTGGTGTGGTTAGTCATTGAAAAAGGCCTGTTCGCTCCAACTCTCAGTCACGATGACTTGTGAAATTGTGTTAGCAAAAGGATCGACCTCTTCTGAAGAGTTTCATCCGGGGACGTAATGTTGGGGTCTTCTCTCCAGGCTGATATCGACCACAGTGAAATTCGAACCCGGGTCTGATGGTACGAACTCATTAAGTTTTAACTAGACAAGTTTGCTGTTAAACATCGGCTCACGAACAAAGAACACTCTCTCCCTCTTTCTATACTGTATCCCTTCAAGACGTAAGCGAACACGGCTCTCCAAAGCTTCCCAACATATATATATATATACTTACACTTTGTGTTATATACATATATAGAGAGAGAAAGAAAGAGAGAGATAGAGATAGATAAATAAAGAGAGATAGAGAGAGATACATATATAAAGAAATAGAGACAGAAAGAGAGATAAAGAGGTTGAGAGAGAAGATAGATAGATAGATAGATAGATAGATAGATAGATAGATAGATAGATAGATTGATTGGTAATTGTAATTTATGTAACAGTATTTCACCTATTGAGGGATGTTTGGTTGATTTGAACCTTTTAAAACTCTTTATTCTACATTCAACATCATCACTTGATAAGACACCAGAAGTGTTCAAACAAAATGGCTATTTTTGTAGTGATGACATAACATGTTTATGTTATAATTTTTGAATAAATAATATTTTCTCTTGAGCACTCTTAAAAATAGTATTTTTGGTTATTGGAATATATTCCGTTTACACCAATCCTATACTTGGGTGTATATATATATATATATATATATATATATATATATATATATATATATATATATATATATATGTTTATGAAAAACTAGATGATCCGTATGGATAAACGTAAAGAGGATAAAATCCAGAGAGTTCAATGTAAATCCAGAGCAAATAATTTAAATAAAAACAGACCACTTTAAGGTTCCATGTAATAAATTATTTTACCACAGCCCTTTTAAAAGGACTGCGGATCATCAGTCTGATCAAAGCGGTCTGTTTTTATTTAAATTATATATATATATATATATATATATATATATATATATATATATATGGAGAGATAGATAAATAGATAGATAGGGTCGGCTGAAAAGTTCATAGGCTGAACAAGAAACTATTATGGAATGTAACTAAATGAGGTTTTTTCCTACATAGACCCCATGCAGGTTGCCTCCTAGGTGTGGTGCAATGGTTATCAAACTAGAAAAATTTCAATTCTCACTGTGTACCCCATAATTTAGTCCTTGAAATTAATGCATAGAAGATTATACAGCTCTAGCATCACTACTTCATAGTTAGCCTATGAACTTTTCATCCAACCCTCGAATCTGGAAAGAATCAATGCATTTATCAATAAGAAGAGACGAAATGAATGCATGCAAGATTTCACAGCTCTAGCATCACTCGTTTATAGTCAGCCTATGAATATTTCAGCCTACCCTGGTACGTGAAAAGAAACAATGCAGTTAGTAATAAGAAGAGTTGAAATGAATGCATACAAGATTTCACAGTTCTAGTATCACTCCTTCATAGTCAGCCTATGACCTTTTTAGGCCACCTCTTACCTGGAAAGAAACAATGCAGTTATTAATAAGGGTTGAAATGAATACATGCAAGATTTCACAGCTGTCTGATCAATGCAAATGGTGTAAATAGTAACACTACCTCATCTCAGAAATAGAGACATATCCTGAATAAGACCGGAGCGTACAACGGCCGAAATGTCGTGAACATGACAACAAAGACGAGTACAAAAGTCTGAATAATGTCAATAGTGTAAATGGTTACAATGCCTCATCTCAGAAATAGAGACAGATCCTGATGGAGACCAATCCTATCACAGCCGAAACGTCGTGAACATGGTAAGAATGACGTGTTCCACAGTCTGAACAATGCAAATAGTGTAAATGGTAACACTAAATTCATCTCAGAACTAGAGACAGATCCTGAAGAAGTCCTGAGCTTACAACGGCAGAAACTTCGTCAACATGACAACAAAGACGAAGACAAATATTTGAACAATGTAAATAGTGTAAATGGCTACAATACCTCATCTCAGAAATAGAGACAGATCCTGAAGAATACCGGGCGTACAACGACCGAAACGTCGTCAACATGACAACAAAGACTAAGACAACAGTCTGAGCAATATAAATAGTGTAAACCCCAGGTTAAATTCGGATACCCCAGGTTAAATTCGGCCACATCTGATCGCGTAAGGTGGTTGGTAGATATCCTTGCTTCGGGAATTACTAGCCTGCCACCCGATTCCCTGTCTTTCAGTAGTATATTCTCTTTTACAATAAACCTCTCTTCTTTCATATACGCGCGTGTTGCTGTTCCTATACTCGAGTATCACCTTTGTCTGTTTGTAACTTTTTTAAGGATACGACATTCATATAAACATTAATAAGTAGTTTCGTATTGTAGAAAAACAGTAGTAATGTTCATAGATGTTACAAGGTTGGTATTTAAGTAATAAATAAAATGTTTGTATTTTGTTATGCATTTCAATGAATACAAGAGTTTGTAAAAGTACTTGTTGAAGCCGAGATGCCTTTGATGTATCCGCTCACTTTTGTAAGTGTTTGTCTCTCTGTGTCTTCTCTGTGTCTTCTGCTAGAATCTTTTCTCTCTATTTGCCAACCTCCCCATAAGGCAAGATGTGGCACAAGGCCAGTTTTTAAAGTGGGGTGTTCCAAGCCCGTAGGCTGCGGCAAAAATTGCCCGTTGACCCCGTATACACAGGGTCGGATTTGTCTACCTCCCCAAACGAAACTATGCCCTTCGGCATAGCCTCCTCTGGGTTTGACAAGAGAGGAAGAGGAAGAAAAAGCCTCCTTTTTTTCTTTAAGATAGGGGTTTATTTATGTTGTTAGCGAAGCTGAAAGAGGTTCCGATTAAGTTGTTGATTATTTCAGGCGCGCTCATTTCTTATTGGTCACTATCTATTTATTTAAGATTGTATTAATCATCTTCAACCGGAAGTTATGCGTGGAACCTATTGCGCAAAGCCCGAAATATGTCATTATGTTTTAAGCTATGAAAGAAGTAACGTCCTGTTTCTGCTCTTAGTATCACTACAACTTCACCTACTAGAACCAGCGACTGTTGTGTAACTGATTCAGCGTAACAAAAGGCCTCTCAAAAATAGGAAACACACTTCACTGACTACAAAAAAAAACAACAAAAAAAAAAAACAAAAACAAAAAAACACACGAAAAAACAAAAAACTGTCCTTTTCAGGCCAATGCCCTTCTCATAGTCGAGATAAATATGCAGAGATTTTTTTTTGTCCAATGAACAGTAATCATATTTTGTCAATGTATTTTCAGTGCTATGATATCTACCGAGGCATTTACGACCAATCGTAAATGACGATGCCCTATCTACCGAACAACCAACTTACGGCCTACAGTAATTAATTCCTCAAAATAGATACAGTGTTATTTTAATATAAGTAGGGGTATTTATCTAATTTATATCCATAAAGGAGGTATTTATGTAATTCCATTACAAAATAAACAAGCTAACGACAGACAAAATAATTCTAGCCCATTTAGTTGATCACAACGCACGTTGCTGGTCAGAGACTTTTATAAAATAAACTCAATTGAAGATGAAGCGGCGTCCTTTCTAAGAATTGGGGTTAGGGTTAGGGTTTTAAACATATTTCATACTTCCAACAGTTGGTAAATATCGCACTATAGTAGAAAATAAATAGTAGATATACTATAGTAGAAAATGAATGGTAGATATCATACCGTAGTAGAAAATGAATGGTAGTTATCATACCGTAGCAGAAAATGAATGGTAGATATCATACCATAGTAGAAAATGAATAGAAAATATTATACTATAGTAGAAAATGCATGGTAGATATTATATCATAGTAGAATATGAATGATAGATATCTGACGGTAGTAGAGAATGAATAATAATATTATACTATAGTAGAAAATGGATGGAACATATTATACTATTGTAGAAAATGAATGATAAATGTTATACTATAGTAGAAAATGGATGGTAGATGTTATACTATGGTAGAAAATGAATGGTAGATATCATACCGTAGTATAAAATGAATGGTAGATATAATACGGTAGCAGAAAACGAATGGTAGATATCATACCATAATAGAAAATGAATAGTAAATATTATAGTATAGTAGAAAATGCATGGTAGATATTATAGTATTTTAGAATATGAATGGTAGATATTATACCGTAGTAGAAAATGAATGGTAGATATCATACCATAGTAGAGAATGAATAGTAAATATTATACTATAGCAGAAAATGCATGATAGATATCATACCATCGTAGTGAATGAATAGAAATTATACTATATTAGAAAATGAATGATAGATATCATACTATTGTAGAAAATGAATGGTAAATATTATACTATAGTAGAAAATGGATGGTAGATATCATACCATAGTGGAGAATGGGAGATATCATACCATAGTAGAAAATGAATGGTAGATATCATACCGTAGTAGAAAATGAATGGTAGATACCATACCATCGTAGTCAATGAATAGTAATTATACTATATTAGAAGATGAATGATAGATATTGTACTATAGTAGAATTTGAATGGTAGATATCATACCGTAGTAGACAATGAATGGTAGACATCATACCATAGTAGAGAATGTATAGTAAATATTATACTATAGTAGAAAATGGATGGTAGATATTATAGTATTGTAGAATATGAATGGTAGATATTATACTATTGTAGAAAATGAATGGTAGATATCATACTGTAGTAGAAAATGAATGGTATATATCATACCATAGTAGAAAATGAATGGTAGATATACTATTGTAAAAAATGAACAGTAGATTTCATACCATAGTAGAAAATGAATGGTAGATATCATAACATAGTAGTGAATGAATAGCAGTGATGTTATAGTAGAAAATGGATGGTAGGTATTATAATACTATTGTAGAAAATGAATGGTAGCTATCATACCATAGTATAAAATGAATGGTAGCTATCATACCATAGTAGAAAATGAATGGTAGATATCATACAACAGTAGAAAATTGATGGTAGATATACCGTAGTAGAAAATGAATGGTACATATCATACCATAGTAGTGAATGAATAGTAATCATGCTAGATTAGAAAATGGATGGTAGATATTATACTATTGTTGAAAATAAATGGTATATATTATACTATAGTAGAAAATGGATGGTAGAAATCATACCAAAGTAGAAATGGACTCTAGTTATCATATTGTAGCAACGTATTTTCTTTAACGAAAATCAACATTGGCAATAAATATATTTATTTTTTTACTCATGGCGACATTCAAGACAGATTAGTACAATCTTATATTGTTTGTTATTGTCTTACATTATTCTATATCTGTTTGCAGGCCAATATAGCATCTACAACACTAGTTAACTACTTAATCCTGGGTATGATAATAAACTACACCCGGAAGCAAGGCCTGTGATCTAGAGAACGGATGTTTTGTGGAGCGTGGAACCACCTCTTAATTGCTGGTGTCCTCAGCTTTACTCTCACCTGGGGTGGTAGCCAATTTAGAGTCCCAGCTAGGCGCAAATAATAACCCCCACCATAAAAAAAAAAAACACTATGAAAGTATAAAAATACATTTTTAAAACGACCAACAGTATATTTTATCTGTAGGTGAAGGCATGCAATTGCGTCTAAAATATTTAGATTTCGTCATTAAATAACCTATGTAAGTTGGTCTGCCGCTAAATAAACTCAACCAAACCAACATGAAAGAATTCTTTCATGACATTAATCTATTCTTAAAGAAATCAAACAGTATTCCAAAATATAACTTCAACAAACCTACAATAGAAAACACACATATCAGCGCCTCTAGTAGTTATATCCGAACAAACATATTGTCGCAGTGTGCCAAACACCACTCCCACCGTTTCTTAAACAACCCCGGCTATGCCTGCCGGTAGAGAAAGGTCACGGCCCTTGTGTGCTAAAAATAGCAACGACACCCTTTCAAACTGACAGAAACACACAAAACTCAATTTTCGCCACTAAACAAAAATAAAAGACCTTTAATTTCGAACCGAAATTAATTTAAATACAGTCAACAAACACCGAACACACTTTTGACTGTAATTAATACTGCCCGAAATTAATTATATTCATTTACTTGTTTAGCGTCACCGCTTTCTCTTGTATGAACCGTCATATCTAGATCCCCGAGACTTCGCAGCGGTTTTTAGCCGGCCCGGGGGAGCAGGAAGCCTCCCTGATTCGCGACTTTGACGCGCCCAGTCAAGTCGATCAAGCCCAGCAGCTGACGGGACCCAGCAGTAGCAGCAGTTGTTCAAACAGTCTTTTTCAGGGCTAACTTCACAAAGTCATTCGATCACCACTCTTCGCTACTGTCTTCCCTCTGTGACGCCAGCTCACTCCTGCAGCTTCCAGCTCACTCCTGCAGCATCCAGCACGCCTGCAGCTTCCAGCTCACCCCTGCGGCGCTCTACCGACGTCCCGCTACCTATTCCAGCACCCGCTGACGACCTAATCCAGTGCGCACTGACGTCCAGCGCCCGTTATCGTCCGGACACCGTTCCCGAACAAACGACCTCTGTCTTCTTACCATCCACTGTTCGCAAATAAAGACACGATTTCCATCGTCTTTAACGGACCATCTGCGTTTGTCATCCTTCTTTGCTATTGCCATCTCCTTGCCTTTGTGTCCCCTTTTTAGTTGTACGGTCGATTGGCACTCACACCTCTCGGCTCGCAACAATATATATGCAGAAAAGCTAAGTATTATCTACCATGTATTCAATTGCGAAATCAGGATAACGTATTTTTATTACGTTAAAGCTCCAAAGAAAATTTAATTTCGGCATTAAATGACCCATAAGGATGTTGATATGCCGTTAAACAAACAAATTAGCTAACTACCGGTCATTTTAAGTATTTATTTCATAGGCACGTTATTCTTTATTTATTTTCTTTGAATTTTTTCAGTTACTAGGTTTTTTCTGTATTAGTATTTACTTATTTGTGTGCAACTAACCTGAGGATCAGTTGTCTTATTTTTAGTTTCTGCTTTTACTTACCTAAATTTATATTTTTATCAATTCATAGTTTAGGCTTTCGTACTGTCAAAAAGGCAGAGAATAAAGTATTTGATTCTATGTTAAATAATGACTTCATAGTCTACAAATATTTTAGATTTAAATCCCAAATTATATTTTCTTTTCATATAATTTTTCTGTTATCATTTTGTAAAATTAAAAAAAACTTCTCAATATTTCTGTCTATTTACGCACGACTATTTCGTAATTTGTCTTGCTTTCGAATGTTATTATCTAAGGTATAATATGAAAAAAAGAAACATTATAAAAAAAAAATAAAAACACATATATAAATATTAATCTACGTACATAATGTTCCAAAGGTTGCCATGGTCGGGGATGATAGGGTATGGAAAATAATTCCAGACATAAAACCCGGAGTAGATCCCTGGACGCAGTTGGCTGTCAACACTGACAAATTTCTGGCAACTCCTTCAGCCAAAACATCGCCAGTACACGGAAAAGACAATGGAATTAAATCCAGACATAAAACACGGAATGGAACCCTGAACGCAGTTGGCTGTCAACACTGACAAATTTCTGGCAATCCTTCAGCCAAAACATCGCCAGTACACAGAAAAGGCAATGGAATTAAATCCAGGCATAAAACCCGGAATGGAACCCTGGACGCAGTTGGCTGTCAACACTGACAAATTTCTGGCAATTCCTTCAGCCAAAACATCGCCAGTACACAGAAAAAAGGCAATGGAATTAAATCCAGACATAAAACCCGGAATGGAACCCTGAACGCAGTTGGCTGTCAACACTGACAAATTTCTGGCAACCCCTTCAGCCAAAACATCGCCAGTACACGGAAAAGGCAATGGAATTAAATCCAGGCATAAAACCCGGAATGGAACCCTGGACGCAGTTGGCTGTCAACACTGACAAATTTCTGGCAACTTCTTCAGCCAAAACATCGCCAGTACACAGAAAAGGCAATGGAATTAAATCCAGGCATAAAACCCGGAATGGAACCCTGGACGCAGTTGGCTGTCAACACTGACAAATTTCTGGCAACTCCTTCAGCCAAAACATCGCCAGTACACGGAAAAAGCAATGGAATTAAATCCAGACATAAAACCCGGAATGGAGCCCTGAACGCAGTTGGCTGTCAACACTGACAAATTTCTGGCAACTCCTTCAGCCAAAACATCGCCAGTACACGGAAAAGGCAATGGAATTAAATCCAGGCATAAAACCCGAGGGAACCCTGGACGCAGTTGGCTGTCAACACTGACAAATTTCTGGCAACTCCTTCAGCCAAAACATCGCCAGTACACAGAAAAGGCAATGGAATTAAATCCAGGCATAAAAACACGGAATGGAACCCTAAACGCGCTTGGCTGTCAACACTGACAAATTTCTGGCAACTCCTTCAGCCAAAACATCAACCAAGGCTATTGAACCCAGTCCTACTATTTACCATAACTGGGGGGGGGGGAGAAGAGATGGATTCATACCTTTCCCAAGAGTATTTGCATGTAAGTGAATGTAATAAACTGTAGGAATTCTTGTAGTTTCTCTTCTTGTGTCTGCTATCAACATTGTGTCATCACAATATCTTATGTTGTTAAAAATGTGGCCATAAATAATGAATCCTGATAGGACTTCTAATACACTCAGAATCACCTACACTGTATAGGTTGAATAAGTCCGGTGAGAAGATGCATCCTTGTCTTACACACTTTTCTATTTTTGTATATTCACTGAATTTATTTTCTATTTGTAGGAAGTGTGTTTGCTATCAGTCTAGGTTCTGAATTATTCTAATATCCTTTGCAAATATGTCAAGGTTAACGAGCAGTTCCAACAGTTCTTTGTGACCTACTTTATTAAAAGCCTTTACGTTATCTATAAAATACAGGTACACGTCTTTCTGATATTATTCTGAGCATAAATATCGCATTCCCTGTACCAGTGTCTTTGACGAACCCGCGCAGTTCTTGTCCTATTTTCTGTTTGTTTCTGTTGCGCTCTCTATTCATCAGAATTCGAATGATAAGTTTTTGTTATATGGCTCATTAGGCTGATCGTCCGATGGCCTTCACATTCGTTTACACCTTGCTTCTTAGGCAGTGCTATGAAAATAGATCTACTTAGGTCTTCCGGTATATCACCACTGTCGTATATTATATTTATTATGTCTGTAATCTTGTCTATGCCGAGATCATTTAAAGTTTCCAGCATCTCTATTAGAATTCCGTCTGGCCCTGCCGTTTTGTTTCTGCTCAATTTGGCCAATGCTGATTATACTTTAGATTTTAATATTGTCGGTCTGTTGGTATATTTATAGCCAGTTGCTCTCATTCGACGTGAAAGTATTCTCTGATACATTCATTCCATTTCTGAAGTATTTTTCTTTCTCATCAATCCGTCCTTGGATTTTATACATCATCTTTTGTCCTCTTCATGAACATCTGTGATATTCATTCTATTTCTATATTTATGTAGGACAATATGTAATATAGAAACTATGTCACGTTGCGTATTATGGCATGTGGGGGCTTCCTTACTTTGCTCGATTCGGCAGCAGCAGCCACGGAAATAATCAACAGAGTACAAACGGAAGTCCCAGAGGTCACAAAAGCCCTGACCAAATCCTATTCGGTCTCTTTCCCATTTCACGGTCAGCTCTTTTTCCACTTTTTCTTTTCAGCGTCCTGACGCAACGTTCAAGGCTTAACTCGATGCTTTATTCAGCCCTTGCCGCAGAAGACATATGGCCCTGCCCTGGCAGGTTGACTTCCGATTTCTCGTTCCTCCCGAAGGAACAGCCGGAGAAATCTCCCTTCGGGGCACCTACCTACCTACCCAAAGGAAAAACAACCCTTAATTCAGAAGACATGTGCCCGTCCTAGCAGATTCACACTCAGATTTCTCGTTCCTCCCGTGGTAACAAGCGGAGAAATCTCTCTCTACAAATACAACTACTCAAGAACTTTTTCCCTCGCAAAAATATCACTATTTTGCACTCTCATTCAACCAAAAATAAAAGCTGTTGAACAGTTATTTTGAGCCTTGGGTAAGGTTCATTCCATTCTCGTTGCCGAGTACACACACACGGAAAAATTCTTACAGTAAAGATATTACACAGAAAAGCAGAATTCACTTGAGGATTTTATTTATTAAAAATATAAATACATTTCATCGTCAAAAAAAGTAAGTGTGAAAAGAAAAAGGGTGAAACATATCGATTGATATCATTTCTAAAGAACCTTGGAATGTTTGGGGTGGGGCAGAAGAACAATTCGACGCGAAAATGTTTTTAACATTTGGAAGAAGAAAAAAATTTTTATTTGGTTCCAGACAATTTGTTGGAATTTTCATGAAAAAGGTTTGCACACCAAAAAAACATATTTCAAAAGATTTCAATAAAATGTTTCAATTTTGAAATAACCTATACTACTTCGCATATATGCATACACGGATGGGACACTTAGATGTGGTGTAATGGTTAACAAGCTTATCTCGCTTACATCAAATACGATTGAGTAGCAAGTTCGATCCTCACTGGGTGATCCATACTTTTACGTTTAGAATCCCCCTCCCCCATGCATACACGGGTGTACACTTAGTGCAGTGTTTCTCAACCTTTTTAAGTAACGGCACACCTAGTTGCAAATGAAAATATCGCAGCACACTTAGCAACATTTTTAAATGTTATGAAATAAAACAATAGTCATACAGGTGTCACATGTGAAGATCAAAATGTAAAGCGTTTGATAATTTTAAAAATATTTAAACAATAAACACACAAATATGAACTTACTTTATTTCAATGTTTCTATTCAACTTTTTTTTTTACAGTTTATTTACTTTGAAATCTGTGCCTGGTGTTGTTTTTTTTTCTCTCGATTTCTTCAATGTTTAGTCGAATGTGAGATACGCAGACCTCCATTTTTTCTTTAGTTGAACGTAGTCTTTCTCGCTTCTTATTTTTGGTGTTATTTAGCGGCACACTTAAGAGGATGGCGCGGCACACTAGTATGCCGCGGCACAGCGTTTGAGAATCATTGGCTTTAGTGTAACGGGTTATTAGCGCTGAAAATGAAATAATCGAGCTGAGTTCAAATACTGCCCTAGTCAGTTGCGTTCACTGTCGCACTAATGCCCTTGGGAAAGTTTTCAATACATCTATTCTTCCTCTGGCTATGGGTTAAATAGCAGGATAGACTAGATTCTCTAGATTATAACGAGTGTCATCGAAGAAAAACTCTAAATTTCGTGCGGTGGTAATAGGAAACCCCTCCATTGTGTTTTTAATACTTAATTTCATCCAATACAAGGCCCAAGAGCCAGTTAAGGTAGAGGGATACAGAGTGAGATTGCTGTAGAGGTGTAAAGGAAGTGGAAGGAGGAAGTAAGACGTGCGTATTATAAGGATAGTAGGATAGATAACGGTTGACAAATTGAAGAGGTTAAGATTGTAGTGGTCGGGGAAGCATCCTCTTGGGAGTCTATTCTTCAGAAGAAACTGAGTAGAATTACTCCTTACCAAAGGAATACAAAGGGAACGTGGATGATTTCTCAATGTGAACCTGGTAGGGTTGTGCATACTAGATGTGAAGGTTTGAACTGGTAGAAATTTTTT